CTTCTGTATATTCAGGACTCGCTTACGATGAGTTATGGACAATTGGAATACTGCCAGATCGCGCCGCGACTGAAATCGCATGAACTATGCCCGAGGCCTAGGCCGTCAATTTTACTCACAATCAGTGCACCTGATCGTGTTGTTTTGCTAGCTTAAAGGCAGTGGACAGGCAAAATGGACCCCTGTCAGATTTTGGTAGTTTTGGGTAGTGGACCCCCCAATTGCACCGTAGCCCCAACCCCAACTTCCAGATGATGCGCTAAGTCCTGAAAAAAGCGCTTCAAACTTCCACCAATAACGCCCACTCAATGGAAGTGGGCGGGGCTGGTGGAGTTTTGAAGCGCTTTTTTCAGGACTTAGCGCATGAATTGGAATGTGGGGTTGGGGCTACGGTGTACTTAGGGGGTCCACTACCCGCAACTACCAAAATCTGACAGGGGTCCATTTTGCCTGTCCGCTGCCTTTAAACAATGCTTTTGACAAGCTTTATTTGCTCTTAAATGCACAGCGGATACCGTAGCTTCCGCCTCCAATCTAAATAGAGCACAATTTGGCGCATTAGCGGCAGGACGAACAAATATTGTAGTTTGCTGCCAATTACGAATAGAGCGGGTATGAACACCTGCAACTGCGCAATCCGAGGGCAATGTCCTAATGATTATATCTGAGAATTTGGCTCAATGCTGGGTAATGGAGCGCTTACACTTTTCCAAAGCTAGCAAACACAAGATTTGTCTCATTAGAATGATATTTACATTGACGACCGCTTGACACACCATGTGTGTCAAGCAATGACCACCACCTAGGACCGCTTGACACACATGATGTGTCCAGGCTTAAACTTCGTTAATATGACAACTTTATTGGTGCAGACTTATTTCAGAATTTCTCTTTTGCTGTAAATCTAGAAATGACTTTTACCTTCTTTATCAGCCTTAAACAGCTACTGTAGATGGTACACCTATAATAGCCTTAAACAACTACTGTAGGTATACTGTAGACGGCGGTATGCGCGGTTTTATCTAAAAAATGCTGACTGGTCCGTAAAAGGTCTGGTCCCAAAAGGCAGACAATCAAAAATTTGCGTTGTCGCTAATGTGTTAATAGCGCCATGTTATATGCGCCTTGGCAATCAGAAGAATTTTGTAGAAAATAAGCTCTTCACTGCAAGTTCTATGGAAAAATTCGATATCACAAGAGCTTGCCAATAAGCAGAGAATGTGCTTTGCTTGTAATTAATCTAAATCAGTCAGATTTACGAACTCTTATTGAGCTGATTTATGGCAACTGCAGTGAAGTAATTTGTGGATTGATATGTGAGATTACACTACGCATGCCATTTCACGACTCCCTGCTGGTAATTAGTAATTCAAACTATTTTCATCAAATAAAACTACTTAAATACTAGACTATTGACCTCAATACACCTATTACCATTCTTAAGAAGGAAATAGCAAAAATCATTCTCGAACTGTTACCTGGTAAGCGAGTTAGTCGTCAGATACCGTGCATGGTATGCAGTATCATGGTTACGAAAGAATGCCTATATGTATTGTCGAATCTTTTCATATGATCATGTGTGTCAGTGCACACACCGTCCACCTTTGGCGTTCTCATCCTGGATTCTTGGAGGAGGCAACTCTTCAGGTGGGTGTTTTTGAATGCTTTTTCAATATTTTCTTTTCTTTTTAGGTACTATTCACCTCAAAATGATGTAAACAATTGTCGCACACTCTCTTGCGTTTTGCGATTGCAAATCCAGGATGAAGACGCCAAATATGGACGGTGTATGCGGGTGCACACATGATCATATAAAATGATGCGACTGTAACTGACACTATCAGATGACATGTTCTATGGACGCGGTTTTTGTCAACAAACTTTGAACTTGAATGTAAAAACCGCAAAGCCTGAACAATAAAAATCCAAGATGCAAAATGAGACTGTATGTACTCCTTTCGTCGCCTCTATAAGGACACATAGCACAAAAATTTTGTTTGCCATGCCGCTATGTACACAATCTCTGCCACAATATTTAGAGTGTATTCTGAAGAGGAAACTTGTGTAACAACATTATAATCGAGAAAATCAAATTTTGTTCGTCATCCTTCCTTCTATAAACCTACATGTGATCATTTGTCAATGTGTATCGTACACTTTTTCATGGATTAGTCAATACATTTGACGATTCTATAAACTGGCAAGCGCAATCAGAGTGTTCCCACTCTCTCCCACGGAATATCCATCCTACTTGCTAAACGCTTATTAGAGTCATAATATTGTGTCAAACCAAGGAAGAGCCGCTGAAGAGGTCATTAAATGTCCGAGAGCAGACAACAATGTGGTTCTCAGGTCTCTTCTATCATCTAAAAGTACACTGACTCGTCCCAGATACTTGCGGATGTCGCTATTATATAGAGAGAATGATGGACGAGCGCAAAGACATCCGTTTCTGTCACGACTGTGAGAAAATGATAGAGCGGTTGTGATTTCCTACCGTAGTCGCGCATACGGCAATAACCATGCACACACTTGTGTCAAAAGCAGTATCTGGCATATTGAGATACCTGAATTTACTATGTATGTAAGGACTGGGAACCTAATAAGCCACAGTCAGAGCCCCATCTCATGAGATGCATTTGTGGCCCAGAATCAAATTCTCTGCCCAACAGTGTTCTCTGATAGCTGACCAATCAGCATCTTCGGCAGGTAGCAACCACGGTCTGGGCTGTATGAAAGTCGTCGCTCCTTATTTTCCTATTCCCACTGTTTTTCATAGAACTACTAGAAGTGATTGCTATCGTGCCGAGTATGCTGATTGATCAGCTTGGAAATAATACCTCCGGGCACTAATTTGAAGATTCGAAGTTGAATATGTTGCTCCCGACTTTATCAGATGTGCTGCCGCTGAGCAATGGTCCGGTTGAGACCACACCAATGCCTGCTCATGAAATTTAGGCACTCAGATCTGCCTGAACACTCCCTTAAGCAGGTGCAGTAATTTTTACAGATGCTAAATCTTTCCCGTACGCTAACTGCACGGACTTCCATGCATATGGGTCGAAACAGATATGACGATCCAGCGATGACTCTGATTGGAAGAATTGGAAGTAAATTTCTTGTGCTCAAGTGTGCAAATCCTCTGCTTCAACCTATCATTTTATCAGCTACTAGCTGGCTTACCCGGCTCCGCCGTATGTTCCGAATAGAAAATTCCATTTCTTAACCGATCCGGACCAAACTTGGCACACATACACTTCGGGCCCCGGCGGGTGTCACAGTCCACTTTTCGTTATCGATCGATGACGAAAAGTAGCCTATGACACCCGCCGGGGCCCGAAGTGTATGTGTGCTAAGTTTGGTCCCGATCGGTTCAGAAATGGGATTTTCTATTCGGAACATACGTACAGACAGACAGACAGACAGACAGACAGACAGACAGACAGACAGACAGACAGACAGACAGACAGACAGACAGACAGACAGACAGACAGACAGACAGACAGACAGACAGACAGACAGACAGACAGACAGACAGACAGACAGACAGACAGACAGACAGACATACATACAAACAGACATTCAGCTTTATATATAAGATTTTATCGCTTTACCACAATTAAGCGATTACTGTAGGTGGAAGAGCCCAAACACGCAAACAACCGGATGAGCAGCACACTTGATCGGTTTTACCAAGAGCTGAGCAAATAAATGCCACCATCGAGTTGCCCAGGCGTTTATCTACGTTGATAGCTGAGAAAGAGATCCATTGTACAGTCGTTGTGTGATGGAAAAGAGATAGCCCCTTCGGAAAATAATAATAATACATTGTTAAAATTTAGTCAATTCCTACTTTGGTAGAGTTCATTTCATTTAATCTGAACTTCTGCACGATGAACAAGCTCCTGTGTGCACAGCTTCTTCGATCAAACCACTACTTGCTCTTCAAGAAACTTTGGTGCGTTTGGCGCAAAGCTAGGCTTGGATGACTTCATGTATAAGCAAAAAGATAATTAGCTTATAAGTAAGTTCCAAGTCTCCTCTTTCGTAAACCTCGGCATTGTTAGTAGAAGGGTGAGTATGTTAGTAAGCCAACCGAGGTTAGTAGATGTCTATTGTTAGTGGCGGCCTAACGTTTCGACGTGTTCGTCTTCTTCAGAGGTCTAAAGTGGTAGGAGATTTAGATATCATGCTCTACCCCACCAAAAACCTCCTCCACCCCCTAGCCAGCCTCGACTTTACCCCCGAATGCCACAAACGAAAACACGCAAGACGTGGAAGACGAACTAACCTCCTCCGCCGCTGCCGCTTAGATGGAAGTTGATTGCAGCCGTCCTCGAGTGCCACTAGTATGGAATACAGAGTGTATATCGATATTAATTTAATCAGTGGCATTCTTCAACTCACATAACGCCATAAAAGGCATAAAGTCATTCGTGATTGACGCGCACTCATTTCGGCTGTTCATGCATGGATTTCTTGATTTCTTAGCTTATAATTCTTTGACATGTTCTAAATTGTGAGACAAAAGTTTGGGTTAGCATCAATAAAGTCACCAAATTTTTGAAACGGAATGCTTGCGGGGTATATCTAGGGAAAAGTTGCTCTCGGTTGCCTAAGCAGTGCCGTGAATGAGTATGGTAATGCATAAGTAACCAGCTCTTTACTTCCCAATTTTGAGTTTTGAGTTTTCGGCGCTCGCTACGTCTGTTGTTGAGATGCAGGGGAAAAGGAATTGGGCATTGTTTTGGCCACATCAGATTACGGGCAAAGTAAAGGGCGTGGCAAAGTGTGGGCGGGACATTTGCACGCGCCCATTGGGATAATCATGAGCTCGCTGGCTGAAGCCGGCTGTGTTTCCTCTATCTTCCGCTCAATCTCATCAACTATTGCAAATCTTCGATTTATCTCCCATTTCTGTTACATGCAGCCATGATCAGCGAAGTTTTTCTGGCCTTTGTCCCACTTGATTTACATGGGGAATTAGTACAGTTTTCCAGATGCTTGTTTTGCCAGACAGCGGATATAATTCTCCCTGTGACGGTATCTTTCCAACTTCATCTGCACTTTCACCATCCAAACTACTGCCAGCCATCAGCTCGAAGATATGCCGAAAGGTGGATTTTGCGACAGGCCTGTATTCGAATACGGGTAAGCCAGTTTCTTTCTGTTTTTACTTTGTCTCTTCTTTCTGACTAAGAAATGTGACTTGTCAATTTTTTTCCATAATCAAGTCGCGTTCACATAGCAATATTACATAAGAATTCTTTCCCAGTGCTATCATTACAACTTCTACATACTTAATGAAACTCAATGTTTTGCTTTTTTAGTTTCACACTATTAATTTCAATTTTTTGAGGACTTCTCAAGATTTACTTATATTTAGAGTATGATACCACTCACATTGCCTGCAAATTTCGTTCAAGAGAAATTGCTAGTCGACTATTGCTTTTGTGTGACTTATTCGATAGCGAGTTCGCTTACTTTCAAGAGCAAGGAGTAAGTGAAGATTTTTTTTGTGAGAATGTTGCTTTAAATAACGGTGCTGTTCTAACACTTTGCATTTTAGGTTTCATGGACAGCTTCCATAATGCGACTTTTTGGATGCTAAATACGTTCTATTTCGCCACCGTCTGTGATCTCATCGTTTATAGTCCCTTATGTGCAATATTTATTCAAATAAACTTATTCATAGATTGGTTGATTGTGCAATCTGACAAAACGTGTAATTGTTGTAGGTGAAGCCAATAAAGTGGGCGGTTACAATTTAAATGCATCATAAAAGACTTTTTGTTGAAAATTACCCAAAGTCTTTTTGTGACTAGAGTGAATGTTTTTGTGGTCCTGTACGCCTTGGTAAAAGATACACGTATTTATGCCAATAGAAAACTACCTTCGGAAAATATTCTGGCTCAGCAACAAAACGAAGATCCGAATGGAATTTTTTGCAAATCTCAAATTTTCTTTTGTGGCCAAATAACAACACTACAATCTCTTCTCTCTCATAATCTTCTTATGAGAGCCGAAAATGGAGAACTACATGCATGCGACAATTCTCTGCGCTTCATTTATCTCATGACTGGGATGAGCAGCAGCAATTAGCTTGTCACGGCTGATCAGAATAAGCTCTGTCATGGAGAAAAGGCGACGAAATAGGAGAAGCCCGATTTTTTGCTTGTAATTTGCATAATTGCGCCTTCGTTGGAGAAATCTAAAAGCTTCTTGTTACAGATCCCATACGTTAGGAAACTCCATATGGCAAGAATTGAGAATTGTGTTTTGTCGTAGTTCAAGAAAAATAAATCAAATCAAACTCTACAAAAGGTCAACCTACTCAAGGAAATTCGCTTAGGACTAATAAAAACTCCTAAGTTGTGTAAAATAGCGACTGTGTTATATTGTATAGTTGGTGGAGCCATCCTAATCTGCGCTAGCGTAAGTACGCAGCCAAAATGTTTGTGGATAGTCAAGGAGCAGTCTGAAAATTGATTTATAACAAGTTCATTTGTTTGACAAATACGTAGCTTCCATTATTGAGATACATGGCTCCAAATCGTTCAGGTTGAGTAGTAAGAGGAGCTAGCGCCCCACTGAATGTTAGGCGCAGCATCCCCAGGGGTTCGTTAGCGATACCAAAAGGCCGCCTTCCTTCCTGCAGCGCTAATTTGATGAAAAATGTTCACAGCAATTGGTCCAGCCGTGTTCAGTCGCGCAGATTCGATCCTTATATCAATTCTCACCTACCATCATTGCAAATGCCTTCTTATTATGTATACATTGCAAAAAATGGCTATCTCATTTGAATCCTAATAACTTACAACAACTTAATGTAAATCTTTGAGAAATTTAAAGCAGATCTTTGACAAATCTTAGCTGCTTCTGAGCTTCCTATGCATTAGGATTTCCTATAGAGCAAGCGCATTTTGAATGAGTGTAAACAGGTACTGTAAAATAATAATCTAAACATTTTGAATAGGCGAATCCCTATGTATTCTCAAGCTACCATGTTACTGTAATGATCTATTTCACCTCGGCCCGAACCGAATTTATTGCAAGCTGGGCTGTTCAGGAGCTCAGTAAGTTGAAAGGATAGGAACGATTTGTTAGCCATAAATTATTGACCTAAATGGTTGCAATGGGCGCAATGCTGAGAAGGTGGGCTAAACTTGTCCTGTAACTACTGAAATGTTGCTTTAAATGAAATTTGCATAATGCTGTCGAAGAAATGGTTCAGAAAAATCATAGAGAATGCACATGCTTAATGTTTTTGAACTAAAACAGATTGATTTCAGCTCCCACAAGGGAATCTGCAATTCAAGTGGCTCTCTACTCTGGCATAATTTGCGTAATCAAGAGCGACCCCATCAAAGCGTCGTTTATAAGGTGTAAATAATTAACCTGCTAAGCCAGTGGGATCAAAGGAATGCCGATACAAGTGATTTGGCCACAGAGTATTGTAAACAGTAATCGTGGATCGCATCTACATAAAGTATTGCAAATAGCGAACTGGAAAAGATACTCCGGAAAATTTCAGGATGTGTTGAAAATCTACGAACAATCTTATGGTTTATTGTATGTTGAATGAGTATGTGTCAGAATTGATATCAATAGTTGTGACAATCAAGTTCATGTCACCCATCTTGATTTACACGTGGGATTTTCAATGGCCTAATTTAATTGAGGCTACCGTAACTTTCGTAGATTTCACAAAAGGCTGAGGTAAAGCGATCGGATGTTGGTTGGCACCTACTCGCGAGAAAACATATTTGTTTACAGTGTTTTCTTGAAGCGGCATCTTTTGAGAATTCTATCGGATACTGTGTCAGCTCTTATTTGCACAGCGGTGCGGTAAAAGCTCCTCCAGATGCTAAGCCTCATCGCCTGAAGACAATGTTACTATAGCACTTGTGTACCATACACAGCTTCTCATATTGCATTTCGCAGCGATCGGTCAACTGTTTTCCGACTGATTGCCTTATGTTTTTGGAACAGAAAAATGATCATTTTGGGAGCCATGAGAAGGGTGCATTAACGATCTAGTTTTTTAGCGAATAGCTACGGGGGTTCACATGAAGTGCGATGGGATTCAAAGAAAAACTCATATTTTAACCATTTTGAAAACTGAATATAATTAGCTTCCTCCAGTCTAGCAGTGTTGATTTCAAATTTTCTTACAAAATCGCTATCGTAATTTACCCATTTTCAGAGTATGATGTCACATCCACTGATTGCATTGGCCGTACATGAGAAATTGCTAATCGACTGATGTTCATGTGTGACTTATTTAATGACGAATTCTCTCATTTTCCTCAGTCAGGGGTAAGTTAAAAATATCGTCGAGTCATTCGTAACTTAATATGTGAGCCTGCACACAAAACGTTTCAACATACGATATCCCTAACATTAACTTCTCGATCAAATCTTCTCTAACGTAACAAATTGTAAAATTGCATACTACTAGTCAACCAATATTCTATCAAACTAAAAGGGGGCAAAGGAACAAGGTGAAATCGCCGAAATGAGCAGATTCCAATCTTATAAGTTCGTCGAAAAGGGCGTGTGATGTGCAATACGCATATTAAGTTATAAATGACTCGAGCATACGTAATATTGCTCATAGATCTACTATTTTAGATTTCGTGGACAGCTTCCATACGGCAACTTTTTGGATACTGAAATGTCCTATAATGCCGCCGTCTGTGATCTCATCGTTTATAGTCCTTTACATATGTGCAATATAATATATCCGAATAAATTTATTCATAAATTGGTTAATTCTTTTAGTATCTAACAAGGAAAGCATATGACGACAAATGAAGCAAGCGAATATTCGACTTTTGAGATTCACTGTGCGAGACTTTCGATGCAGTATTTACTGAAAGTCTTTTTGTGATCACAATAAGTATTTCTGTTTCTGTGCCATGGTAGAAAGCTGACGATAAAGGTTCTTCAGCAATAAACGAACATCCGAATGAAAACACGCTTATTTCGTTTTTGCAGATTATTGAATTCCTCTCGAAGCCAAATCTCAACACTAGCGTTTTTCTTCATAATTTATGTAGAAAAGGAGAATAGTGGAAAAATGAACACCGCACACATGCACAATTCTTTGCGCTCCATTTATCTCATAATTGGGATGAGCGGCAGCTATTAACTGTCACGACTGATTAGAATAAGCTTTGTCCCGAAGGGAAGCCGACGAAATAGGAGAAGCCAAATTTTATCTGCTTGTAATTTGCCAATAGCGCATGCTTTGTTGAAGCATTCTGAAAGCTTCTTTTTATCGGCATCTTATTTACAGGGATGTCCAATTATAAGAGTTTAAGAATATGTTTTTTTGGGCAACGAAGATAAAAGAAAATCATATCCTACGAAACGTCAATGTCTACGCGGGAGACGGTTAAGAAGCGCGATTTCTTTAGACGTCACAGTTCAACAGCCCAATTCGATGCTATGTGAGTATTTCAAGAATGACCAGACGAAGTGCTCTAGCTTACTAACTACCTAAAGTTACCACTTGCTAACTTTGATGGCTTTTGGCAAAAAAATGAATAAAATTCACTTGCCATAAGTTACATTTTCAGAGGTTTCTGACCTCTAGCATCTATGATTTGAATCTATTTCAAGATACTTGGCAATGATCCTTGCATCTTCCGCAGAAATTTAGAGAGCTTTTAGAACGTTAGTGAACACTAAAATTGGTGTCTAATCTGCCAATAAAAATCGCGCTTCCTGGCATACATCCAGTTTACAGGAGAGGATTCGGTTTGGAACTAACATAAGCTCATTAAGTATGGTGAGCAGTCAGGAGTAGTGGAGCTACATGTATCTACGCATTAATATAGTCGATGTTGTAGTCTGAGACAATTGTGAGACGCTTCTCACAATCGACAGTCGAAGGGATACCTCCGGCGGGCAAATGGCGCGAGTCTGCCACTTTGCGCTCTGGAGCGCTCCGGAGCCCAGCCATTTCACCCATTTTGGTCTTTCCAGGGCTCTACCAAATCTGGCGCACCCCCAGAGCGGAGATCTGCGCGTCCCGGAGAGGGGTCCCATTCGCCTGCTTGTGACGCCACCGTGACCAGCAGAGGTGTCAGCGCCTCGCTCAGTGTTAAGCGGAGCATCCCAAGGCGGTCGTTAGCACTGGTAGCCAAAGGCCGGCTTCCGACTTGGAGGACTAATTTGATGTAAAAATGTTCACGGCGTTTGATCCACTGTGTTCATTCGAGCAGATATGTAAGAGCGTAATTAATGAAAGAGACCTCTTAACAAGATACGATACGAAGATACAGTATCGTTAGAGATACTGTAAACATTGTGAAAAATGGCTTTATCAAATGAGCTTTACTAACTCATCAAAATCATAGAGGATTCTTGACAAGTATTAGCTGCTCTTTCGATGTTCCTTGAAATGCTAGTGAACCAATAACTAAAGGTATATTTGCATCCGTGCGCTTCGGGACCACTTTGCGGTTCCCGCTATCTGACGTTTTTTGAATTGGCGTTACGATTTTTTATATTAGGTACCGTCTGCTTTGTCACTATAAAAATTTTGAGGCATAACGATGCAATAAGGTTTCCTATCACTGAAAGCAACTACATTTCGAATGA